AATGTCATATGGGGCGGAAGAATCACCCAGCCAAACCCTTCCTGGATCCCTGACCCAGAAATGTGTCAGATGTAATGGTTGTTTAAAGCCACTCAATTTGGGGGCAGTTTGTTATGCAGCATAGCTCGCTGGTATGATACAACAGCCTGCAATTCAGGCAGCAGCAGCACTAACAACCATGACATCCTGCAGGAGCGAACTCCTTTGGAGTGCCGCCTAATTGTTTTCTTTTCTAAGAGTCTCTTCCCCAGTATCCCCTAAACCACCATCCTGCATCTTTCTCCCTGCCTGACTCTGTGGGAGACATGTGACCCACACTGGGCCAGGTGGATTATCTCCCTGCCAACTCCCTTCCTCCCTTCCAAAGTTGATGGGAGTGGACATTTGACTCGAGCTGGGCCAGGCAGATCCTCTCTCCCAGACGTGTGGGACCAGGAATCAGAGGTGGCTGATCATTTTGCATCTGTGGCTAGCAGTCCTTGAGATGTAAGTTTGGAGGGGCTGGAGGCAACCATCTTCCTACGGTGTGTAGGGAAACATACAGAAAGCTGGTCTGCGGTGGGAGGAGAATGATGCGGATGTGTAGCCAAGTACAGAGAAAGGGCTCCCTTCTGTTGTCCCTCCTTCTGCTGGGCGGGGGCGACAGGGAGTGAGGCAAGCCCAGCCTTGTCTCCTAGCCTCCTCTAAGCACCACTCACTCAGAAAGCCCAACACCAAGCTCCTCCTCTTCCCAAACTAATCTGAATCTTGCCTTCCCTACCCTGATTAAGGGCATCCATCCTTTGTCTGAACTTATCTCAAGGAGATACAGCTATTCTTTTTTTCTCCCTGACCTCTCAAGTCCAGCTGGTCAGCAAACCCTGCCTGTCCTACCTTGACCCATGGCAATGGCCCTGCTCTCGTCCCCGCACTGTCCCCAGATCTCTCTTTCCTTTTAGAGACAGGGTCTTGCTCTACCACCTGGTGCAGTGGTATGATCATAGCTCACTCTAACCTCAAATTCTTAGGTTTAAGCAATCCTCTGGCCTTGGCCTCCCAAAGCTCTGGGATTACAGGCATGAGCCACTGCACCCACCCCCAGATCTCTCTCTCCACATGATCTGGTCATGCTACCACTCTGCTCACAGACCTCCCATGCTCTCCCTTTGCCCTGGTTGGCGGTGGCCTTCACAACTGTGGCAGACGGTCTTGCTGCAGGTCAGTGACTGCCCTCCAGTGACAGGCTTTACAAGCTGCTCCCCACAAACCCTGTTTATTTTCCCACCTCTTCCTTCCCTCTGGATGGAACCTTCATCTACCCTTCTCTGCCTGGAAAACTCAACCCACACTCAAGGTCAGACTTGAATGACACCTCATTTATGAACTGTCCTCTGGCTTTTGTGTGCTAAGCACAGTGCTAAACATTTTCCCTGCATAACCTCTACATACCAAACTGGAGGTGATGGTCTCCTTTTTACAGAGGAAGAAACTGAGGGTCACAGAAGGTAAGCAACCCCCTTAAGGCCTCATGTCAGGCAAGTGTGAGAGTGAGGATTGCTGCCCACAGCTGTCAGCCTGAAAGCTGCTCTCATCTACTACACTGTTCTCTGTGACCTTTTTTTTTTTTTTTTTTGAGATGGAGTCTTGCTCTGTCGCCCAGGTGGAGTGCAGTGGCGCGATCTCGGCTCACTGCAACCTCCGCCTCCCGGGTTCCCGCCATTCTCTGGCCTCAGCCTCCCGAGTAGCTGGGACTACAGGCGCCTGCCACCACGCCCGGCTAATTTTTTGTATTTTTAGTAGAGACGGGGTTTCACCGTGTTAGCCAGGATGGTCTCGATCTCCTGACCTCGTGATCTGCCCGCCTCGGCCTCCCAAAGTGCTGGGATTACAGGTGTGAGCCACCGCGCCCGGCCTCTCTGTGACCTTTTAATCCTCTCTCCTCCTTGGGGTAAGGGAGGGGAACTCATGGCACCTTCTTCTCAGTTTCCAGAGCAGTTACTGTGCAGCACTCACCACCCTCCATTATGCCTGCAGGTCTACTGCTAGGTGGTGAGGTGGTCAAGGGCAGGGAAGGGCACAGTTATTGCCACATCCCAGTGCCTAGTCCAGGCAAAGCAAGGACTGGGGCAAAGCAAATGTTCGAGAAACGTGAGCTGAAATGAGATACTGCTCTGGGTTGACTAGCAAAGCCGTTTTGACCCAGGTGACCTCATTCAACAGCCTCCTCAAAGCTTTCTTGCCACCCGGTAGTTACAGCAAGCCCTGGTCTGGGCACACGGTGTGTCCCTGGTGGCCGTGACTGCCCTCTCCCTCCCAGTCTGTGGCAGAGGGCAGCGTGTGCCTTCTCAGGTCCTGGCTCTGTGGATCCCACACAGCTGGGTGACCTCAGGGTTCTGCCCACCCATGACAGCATCTCCTGCAACCATGCTTTCTTTAAACAAACACAGCAAAAGCAAGGCAAAGCAGGTGGTGGGCTGGAGGAGGCAGGGGTTGTGCACAGAAGACGGGCACCCCGAGGGGCAGAGCCAGGTGGGGTGGCCAGAAGGAGGGCATGCAGGCCACAAGGGGAAGTGGGGCTCAGCCACAACATTCCCTGCTCTGTGCCCTGTCTGGTTCCACACACCCAGCCATACAGGACACTGCTCCTCTCATTTTAAGAGCCCATATAAAGGCAGAAGGAAGTCTCACACACACACACACACACACACTCACGCACCAAAGCCCTTAATCAGCAAGAAACCTTGTCTTTTCAGATCCCAAACACTGAGCAGGCTTTGTTCTCCACCCACAGACCAGAGGCTGTCTCAGCAGGAGGGAGCTGGAGTTGGAGAAAAGGGAGAATTAAGAATCTATCTGGCAATGTGGATTAAATAAACAACAAATTGGCAGATTGTTTTTAAAAGGCAACATCCACTATTGGCAAACAGACATTTCTGATACATTGCTTGTGGGAGGGTGAATCAGCATGACCTTTCTAGAGGGCAATTTGCAATAGTAATAAAAGGCTTAGGCCGGGCGCAGTGGCTCACACCTGTAATCTCAGCACTTTGGGAGGCTGAGGTGGGAGGATCACCTGAGGTCATGAGTTCAAGACCAGCCTGGCCAACATGGTAAAACCCCATCTCTGCTGAAAATACAAAAAAAAAAAAAAAAAAGCTGGGCGTGGTGACAGGCACCTGTAATCCCAGCTATTCAGGAGGCTGAGGCAGGAGACTCGCTTGAACCTGGGGGGCGGAGGTTGCAGTGAGCTGAGATCACTCCACTGCACTCCAGCGTGGGCAACAAGAGCAAAACTCCATCTCAAAATAAATAAATAAATAAAATTTTAAAAAGGCTTAAAATACGCATTCCTTTTGATGGTGATTCTATTTCTAGGCTTTCATTCTAATGACATAATGAAAGATTTGTGCAAATATTTGGCTCCAAGGATATTTACTGTGGTGCTGTTAAAAGAAGTGTGAAACCAGGAGCAACCTAAATTCCAGTATCAGGGGACTGGATGAGTAGACTGCAGACACTCTACAGCTTTAAGATGTGCTGGAAACGTGCTTTGAACAATATGGAAAGATGTTCGCAGTACTGTCTTCAGGGAAAAATAGGAATATGTTTTTCCCAGATTAATAAATCAAATCCAGGCCAGGTGTGTTGGTTCACGCCTGTAATCCCAGCTTTGGGAGGCTGAGGTGGGAGGATAGCTGGAGGCCAGGAGTTCAGGACCAGTATGAGAAACATAGTGAGACCTTATGTTTACAAAAAATAAAAAAGTGAGCCAGGCTTGGTGCCTGCCTGTAGTCCCAGCTACTTGGGAGGCTGAGCAGGAAAATGGCTTGAGCCCAGGAGTTAGAGGCTGCAGTGAGCTATGACTGTGCCACTGCCTTCCAGCCTGGGTGACAGAATAAGACCCCACACTTTAAGAAAAGGAACCCATTGCTTTTAAATTTAGAAGTACTTCACCTGAAAATATGTTGAGTATATTACTGTGAAATTTAACTAACACACTATTCAAAAATAAGTTGATGCTATGAGAATGCCTGGCCTATATCTATATATGCAGAGAAAAAGGTCAAAATGAGACAACGCTATGCTCATCATGGTTATTTCTGGGATGTGAACTTCTGGTGTTTTACAGCTTTTTTTGGTAATTGATATGTTATCATGTTTGGTCAATAAATACATTTTTTTTTGTAATCCCAAATAAATTAGTTGTTTTATTTTAAAATATCCATCTATAATACTCTAAGAGGCTGTTTTCACCTACATCTGAAACTTGGAATTCTAGAGAAGTATGGACTTTGGTGTCAGGAAGTTGCAGCTATGGTTCCTGGTGCTGTTTTGGAGCTGAGGACACAGTGGAAACAAGGAAGAGATAGACCTTCATCAGCTACAGCCTGGGATACTATTACCGATGAATAGAGAGGCTCTGAAGGAAAAGGACTCCAGGTCTCTGAAAGCAGAGTGTGAGGCAAACAAATCATCCTAGACATGAGGATGAGGACACCCCTTTCTCCTTGAGAGAGTGATGCTTGAGGCAGGACAGGTCTGCACCCTGGGCCACCTCCAGATGAACCACCATGAGGTTGGGAGAAGTTCTGATGAAGCTACTCTGGATTGTAACCCATCTCAGTTACTCAAGTTTTCTGGTCAGAAATCTTCCTCTTATTCCTTAGAGGAAAAGAAGGAAGAATTGCCTTCTGATCTTTCTTCAAGCAAATGGTAAATCTCCCTCTCCCGCCAGTTGCTCCCCAGGCTTCTGTTTTGGAGTTAGGTTCTCACCATCCTATGTTAGGACTCTAAGGGAAGGTAAGAGAAGATAGTACTGAGACTTTTGCCCTCCCTCTGAAGTGCTCCAAATCCTTAGTTGTGGATGGCCTCAAGGGGAGCCAAGATTCTACTCCCTGCCTGAAGTGTCAATGTCCTTCGCTGTACCAGTGCCATGAAGGAAGCTCTAACAGGATACTCCTTCCTCCCTGGAAAGGCAGGAGAGCTGGGCATCCATGGGTGGGGACAATCGCCAGACTCACCTTCCAGAGCAACACAGCCAGCAGCAGGAAGATGAGGATTCCCACCAACAAACTGATGGCGATGATCCAGCCCACGACGTAGCCACGGGGCTCCAGATTGTGCAGGGCCTCGAAGACCACCTAGGAGGCAACGCAACAGTGAAAACATTTCCTTTTTTTTTTTTTGAGGCAGAGTCTTGCTCTGTCACCCAGGCTGGAGTGCAATGACGCAATCTTGGCTCACTGCAACCTCTGCCTCCCGGGTTCAAGCGATTCTCCTGCCTCAGCCTCCCAAGTAGCTGGGATTACAGGTGCCTCGCTAATGTTTTGTATTTTTAGTACAGACGGGGTTTCACCATGTTGGCTAGGCTGGTCTCGAACTCTTGACCTCAGGTGATCCACCCACCTCAGCCTCCCAACGTTTTGGGATTACAGGCGTGAGCCACTGCACCTGCTGAAAACGTTTCCTAAACAGAAGTGCACAGAGCATGATGGAGCCCAGCCTGGGCTTGACATTTGGAGAGAACTACAGAGAAGTATCCAGACCACTGTTACTAATAAATAAATACATAAGCTCCACTGAACGTTTTTCTGGTTGCAAACTGATGGATTTTTCACTGGCATCTGAAAAGGCACTTGAAATCCAAGCCCTAGGTCTTGAAAGGGTTGTAATGACAACAACCCTGATTTAAATATCATGAAGTGAATAAAAGTGTACTGAAAAACTTAGAGGACACACTATGTTCTTGATTCAGAACAGGTAACAACAATGTACCTTTTGTTTCAGCTTTGAAACAAAAAACACGTGAGTGCTCTGCATGTAAGGCAGCTCTTCTTTCCAAGTGTTCAGCTCAATGTGTCACTTAGAGGAATTACTTGATTAATGCTAGTTTCCCCAGTAGACTGTGGACCCCACAAGGGGTAGGACACAGTCTGTCTTGGGTCTCATGGTAGGGCCTAGCACATTGGAGAAACTTATTCAAGAGGCTGTACCGTGGTTTCCCATGGGAGCCATAGCAATCGGAGCCCATGTCCCAATGAGCCAAGTTTTCCCAACTTTTCCTGAAACTCAGTGGTGTGCTGGAGCTGGCTCATATTAGCTCATGAGAGGCAACTGTGCATCTCTTCCTAACTCTGTACCTAGTGACATTGCAATGGCAGTTTGAAATGGGCTATGGTGGGAGTATTTGGCAAACAAATCAGGGCACCCCTACCCTCCTGCCAGAGAACTGATTGTTAAACATGTATTAGTGCTCACCTCTGATTGTCCCCTTTGGCTCTGCTTTAGCCCCACTGGTCACAGTGGAGTTTAGTTTTGCAGAATGACTGGGCACAATACTGACGTGATAATGCCTAACAATGCTTATTTAACCATTTTAGGGCCTGGCTCCCATCCCTCTCTAAATTTATTGAATATCGTCTGTGTCAGTTCTGTGCTTTTTTTGCAATCTCTTATCTAAGTCATACAACAGCCCTATGAGATCTTCAACACCCATTTTATAGAGGGGGACATGGAGGTCCAAAAAGGATATTTGCTCTAGACTGTGTAGTTCAAATGCACAGTCACGATTTGAACCCAGGTCTTAGCCAACCCCAAACCCCCAAATCTGAGCTTGTCATCACCACACCAGAGTGCCTGATTGACAGTGGCCTTCTTTATAGGCTACCTGTCAACTGAATGAATTACTTACTGGCTCTTCCCTAGTGATAAGGAAAGAAAATGAGACCACCTCTACCTCACTGCCTCCATTCCCACAGCTGGGGTAGGAGAGAGTGTGCGTGCGCCAGGGGGATGGGGCAAATGGACACACAGGCTACCACAGTTTTTGAGTCTGTTTTCTCATCTGCAAGACAGGAGCAGAACAGTGCCTTGCCAGAGATTGAAAAGGGGTAATGCACACAGAGTCCCCAGCATAGCATCTGTCACAGAGCCTGCCCTTGACAAATGGAGTGTTCCTGTTAGCATCATTGTCATTGCTTGTAGGGAGTTTTTTGAGGTTGTACATGGCTGGCTACTTTTTAGTTTTTATTTTATTTTTTGAGACAGAGTTTCTCTCTGTCACCCAGGGTGCAGTGCAGTGGCGCAATCTCAGCTCACTGCAACCTCTGCATCCTGGGTTCAAGCGATTCTTGTGCCTCAGCCTCCCCAAGTGCTGGCATGAGCCACCACTCCCAGCGCTTTTTACTTTTTAAAAATTACTTACTGAAGTCGAATATACATAGAGAAAGGTATAAGTATCCTAAGTGTACAGCTCGCTGAATTTTCACATACCAAATGCTAAATGCATGTGTGTAACCAGCACCCAGATTAAGAAACAGAAGGTGATCACCTCCCTAGAAGCTACCTTCCCCCTTCCTTCCAGTCCCCACCCCCACCAAGGATGTCTAACAGCTTGGATTAGCATCACCTGCTTTTCTGGGACCTTGCTATAAACAGAATGACACTGTATGAACTACAGTACTTGGTTTCTTTTCTTTTCTCTTTTTTTTTTTTTTTTTGAGAAGTCTTGCTCCATTGCCTCAGGCTGGAGTGCTGTGGGCACAATCTTGACTCACTGCAACCTCTGCCTCCTGGGTTCAAGCAATTCTCCTGTCTCAGACTCCCAAATAGCTGGGATTACAGGTGCCTGCCACCACACTTGGCTGATTTGTATTTTCATAGAACAGGGTTTCACCATGTTGGCCTGGCTAGTCTCGAACTCCTGGCCTCAGGTGATCCACCTGCTTCAGCCTCCCAAAGTGCTGGGATTACAGGCATGTATCTGATTTCTTTCTCTCACTGTTATGTTTGGGAAATTGCTCCAGGCTGTGGCATGTCCACTCTCACTGCTGTATAGTATTCCTCTGTGTGGACATGCCACTATTTATTCATGCTATTATTGATGAGCACATGGAGGTTGTTTCCAGCTTGGGGCTTTTAAAAAGAGCAATTTTCAGACAGTAGGCAATTCTCAGGAGAGAATATTTATGGGTAGGAAGTGTGGGACAGAGTGAGCTCTGAAGTCTGTCATCCTAAATCCACTATTTTCTATGTAGTTCAAATGAGCAGCTCTTATCTTTAAAGGCAGACAGATTCATGTCTTTGGGTTCCTGCCCCTAAAAAGCTGTGGATCAAATCACCTCCTGCATTTAGAATCTCTCATGGTGTCTTGTACAGATGAAGTGTGAGGAACTGTTAGGAAAGATGCAGAGGGAAGAGTGCGCTTTAATCTGGTCCCGGTGCAACCGTAGGCAACCAACTTTCTCTTTCTCCCTGAAATGGGGGTCTGATAGGGAAATGTGGCAGTTCTGTGAAAGTGCCTGGGTGTGAGAAAAGTTTGCTAAACCTTATTGTTGACTATGAATCAGACTGAAACACTGAGCTCAGTGGGGTTAGCTGTAAAGCCCAGCACCCTGTGCTAACCCAGATGACTTCTTAGGGACACTGACATCTGCATAGCAGCAAAGCCACGTTGGAGGTCTGGTTTTGTGGACACAGAGGTTAAAGTAGCAGCTACAGTTTAGTCTGGCAAGTTCCACAAGAATGCCCTGTCACTTCCCCGGAATGTGAGCTTCATCTCTTATTATTTTTAGGGATGCTGTCCATCCCCTCGGATGCATGCTCCATGCTTTGGCAGAGCCTGTTCTCTCACATCACAACTCTCAAACTCATCTGTGAGTGATAAGCTGAGCGTCCTGCAGCTCTAGGAAGTCATATCTTAGATTAAAAAACAAAACTCCAAGGAAGGAACAGCAGCATGGACGACATGGAGAGGCAAGAAGCACTGATGATCAGGTCCCGTCGTCACCACCAATGAGCCGGCTGATCCTGGTTAAGCCCCTACACCTTTCTAAACGACTTTTCTCTCCATCCTCTTGTTTCCATCCCAGGTACTTCCTGGCTCACATCTCGTCTTCTCTCACCAGCACTATTACAGGAGGCTTGGAAAGGCCTCCTTGCTGTTAGAGTTGTTTTTCTAAGGCACAGGTCTCATCACATCACTTTTTGGTTTACAGTGTCCATGATTTTCCTTCAGGCTGAGCATCTAATTCAGGACACCAGGGCCTTCATACTCTGGTCTCCTTTCTGCCTTTCCAGCTGCTCCCAGGACACATATTTACATTCTAGCCAGGTAGAGATCTCTCCTCTGTGAGACTGGTGGTCCCCAGCCTCTCTGCAGGCTCCTCTTGCCTCCTGGAATGCCCTTCCATCCTTGCCCATCTGACAAGCTCATTATTGCTCATCTAAAAATGTTCATACTTGACCAGCCTGGCCAACATGGTGAAACCTCGTCTCTACTAAAAATACAAAAATCAGCCAGGAGTGACGGCATATGTCTGTAGTCCTAGCTACTTGGGAGGCTGAGGCAGGAGAATCGCTTGAATCCAGGAGGCGGAGGTTGCAGTGAGTCAAGATGGCGCCACTGCACTCCAGCCTGAGTGAAAGAGCAAGACTCTGTCTTAAAAAAATAAAAAATTAAAAAAAAAATGTTCATACCCTTTGATCCATTAATTCTGTACTTGAAAACTTTACTCAAAGGAAAGAAATATAAAATATGGAAAAAGTTTTATGCTCAAAGATGTTCATTGCAGAATTATTTATATTGGTGCTGAATTAGCAATATCCTAAGTGTCTAACATCAGGGCAATAAATAAATAAACTATGGTCGATCACAAAATAGAATATCACAGAACTATTAAAAATGATGACAGTAAAGCTGACTGTCAAAGCATAATTTTCAAAAAGTTAAAAACATGATTCTCATACAAATATATAGTGAATACATGGCAAAGATTTATTTAATTTGTTATTGAGGAAGTCAGCAGGGTGGCAAAGCTAGTTTTAAAAAGACCAGAAAAAAATGTGTAGTCATAGGAAAAAAATTACTGAAATCAGATTACTAAATCAAGTACAAAACTGGCTAATACCCTACAAGGCAGTAAACTCTAACCTTTGGGATATTTTCAGTCAAACAGAAATCATTTTTGTCTTTATCGGCAAGAGTCATTTATAAATTATCAGCCTTCTATAAGTTAATATGTAACTTCACAGAATTTGGGCCCTGGAGGGTTAGGCAGGCCTGCAGACCAGTGCTTCTCAAATTTTATTGTGTGTAAGAATCACAGGAGGAACTCTGTTAAAATGTAGATTCTGAATTAGA